TAAAAAAACCAATCCAAAAAATCAATGAAACCAAGAGCTGGTTCTTCGAAAAAAATCAATGAAATAGACAAACCCCTAGCCAGGCTCACAAAGGAAAAAAGGGAGAAAGCACAAATAAACAGGATCATAAATGAAAGAGGAAAAATCACAACGGACACAGCAGAAATCAAAACAATAATCAGAAACCACTATGAACAGTTATATGGAAACAAGTTCAACAATCTAGAGGAGATGGACAAATTCCTACAACTCTACAATCACCCAAAGCTAGATAAAGAAGAAATAGAACACCTAAACAGACCAATTACAAGCAGCAAAATTGAAATGGTAATCAAAAACCTCCCCAAAAACAAAAGCCCAGGACCTGATGGATTTACAAATGAATTCTACCAAAAAACGTTCAGAAACGAATTAGTGCCTATCCTTCACAAACTCTTCCAAAAAATTGAGAAGGAAGGGATAATACCAAACACGTTCTATGAAGCCAACATCACATTAATTCCAAAACCGAACAAGGACAACACAAAAAAAGAAAACCACAGGCCAATCTCCCTAATGAACACTGATGCAAAAATCCTCAATAAAATTTTAGCTATCAGAATCCAACAATGTATCCATAAGATAATTCACCACAACCAAGTAGGATTCATTCCAGGAACACAAGGATGGTTCAACATCTGAAAATCAATCAACATTATCCAACACATCAACAAAAAGAAATATAAAAACCATATGATAATATCAATAGATGCCGAGAAAGCTTTCAACAAAGTGCAACACCCATTCATGATAAAAGCCCTTGAAATTCTTGGGATACAAGGAACATACCTCAACATCATAAAGGCCATATATGACAAGCCAACAGCCAGTATCATTCTCAATGGCAAAAAGCTGAAAGCATTCCCATTAAGATCTGGAACAAGACAAGGATGTCCACTCTCACCACTGCTTTCCAATATAATACTGGAAGTCCTAGCCAGAGCAATAAGACAAGAGAAAGACATACAAGGAATCCAAATAGGAAAAGAAGAAGTCAAACTATCACTATTTGCAGATGATATGATAATATACATAGAGAACCCCAAAAACTCCACAGAAAAACTAATTCAACTAATTAATCAGTTCAGTAAAGTGGCAGGATACAAAATCAACATGCAAAAGTCAATAGCCTTCCTATATACAAACAATAAATCTGAAGAGGAAATTAAAAAAAACATCCCTTTTATTATCGAAACAAAAAAATCAAATACTTGGGAATAAATCTAACAAAAGAGGTAAAGGACCTATACAAAGAAAACTATAAAACACTGTTAAAAGAAATAGAAGTCACAAAGAAATGGAAAGACATCCCCTGCTCATGGATTGGAAGAATAAACATTATTAAAATGGCCATCCTACCAAAAGCAATTTACAGATTCAATGCTATTCCAATCAAAATTTCAATGTCATTCTTCAAGGAAATAGAACAATTATTGATGAAATTCATATGGAATCACCAAAAACCCCGAACAGCCAAGGCTCTCCTGAAAAAAAAAAAAAAAAAAAAAAAAGGGCATGGAGGCATCACACTCCCAGACTTCAAACTATACTACAAAGCCATAATCATCAAAACTGCATGGTTCTGGAACAAGAACAGACACACAGACCAATGGAATCGAATAGAAAATCCACAAATAAACCCACAGATTTATGGTCAACTAATCTTTGACAAAGGAGCAAAGCATATACATTGGAGCAAAGAAAGTTTGTTCAATAAATGGTGCTGGGAAAACTGGGTTGCTACATGCAAAAGAATGAAGCTTGACTACTACCTAACACCATGCACAAAAACCACCTCAAAATGGATTAAAGAACTAGACATAAGACCTGAAACCATAAAATACATAGAAGGAAATATAGGCAAAACACTACATGATATGCACATCAAAGACATCTTTACAGACACATCACCCAAAGCAGTGATAGTGAAGGCAAAGATAAACAGCTGGGGGCCTCCCCGGTGGCGCAGCGGTTGAGCGCTGGGTTGCGAAGCTGCCGCAGCCTCTGCAGCGCCAGTTCGATCCCCGGCTGCTCCCCGGCCACCGGAGGAGGGTCCCGCATGGCGCGCAGACCTCTCCTGCCGCCCGCTGCTCCCCTCAGCAGTGTACTTCGGTCCTTCTGCCTGCTCTGCTCCCTGCTCTGGCTCTGGTGAATTCTCTCACCCTCCCGCACTTCTGACTGTACCAATATCAGTGCTTGTATCAATACATAAATAAATAAATAAATAAATAAATAAATATATAAAAATAAATTAAACTTTAAAAAAAAAAAGATAAACAGCTGGGACTACATCAAATTAAAGAGCTTCTGCACAGCAAAAGAGACAATACAAAAACAAAGAGAAACCCCACTGACCGGGAGAACATTTTTGCACACAACACTAATGATTAAGGACTAATCACAAAAATCTACAAAGAGCTAATGAGACTCAACAAAAACAAAGAAAATAATCCAGTCAAAAAATGGGCAGAAGAGCTAAAAAGAAACTTCTCTGAAGAGGAAATGCAAATGGCCAACAGGCATATGAAAAAAATGTTCAACGTCACTTGTAATCAGGGAAATGCAAATCAAAACTACCATGAGATACCATCTCACACCAGTGAGAATGGCACATATTAAAAAAACTAGCAACAACAAATGTTGGCGAGGTTGTGGAGAAAAAGGAACTCTCCTGCACTGCTGGTGGGAATGCAAACTGGTCCAACCACTATGGAGAGCTGTGTGGAGATTTCTTGACCTACTAAACATAGAGCTTCCATATGATCCAACAATTCCACTCCTAGGTATTTACCCAAAGGACACAGAAACATCCATTCCAAAGAGCACCTGCACCCCTATGTTTATAGCAGCACTATTTACAATAGCTAAGCTTTGGAAACAACCCAAATGCCCAAAAATAGATGACTGGATCAAGAAGATGTGGTACATATATACCATGGAATATTACTCAGCATTCAAAAAAGATAAACACATGCAATTTGCAGCAACATGGATGGAGCTGGAAGGGATCATGCTCAGCAAAGTAAGCCAGAAAGTAAAAGAAAAATACCGGATGGTCTCACTCATAGCAGGAATCTAGAAAACTTAAATAAGGGACCAGGAAAAAGAATAACTATAAGAAAGAAAATATCAAAATCAACAAACAACTATGAACTAGAGACACTCTATGGGGGTTGGGGACGGGGAAAGGAGGGCTTGGGTCAAAATAATAAGGGGGTTGTAATTGTATGGGGAATATAAAAGTAACATTTAAATTAAATAAATAAATAATTTAAAAAAAGATTTGTCTAGAGTAAAAAAAAAAAAAAAGGCCATCAGTTATTATTAGGGAAATACAAATCAAAGTCACAAATGAGATATCCCCTCCTATCTGTGAGAATGGCCTACTTTTTAAAAGGACCAGAAATAATAAGTGTTGGCAAGGGTGTGGAGAAAAAGAAACCCTTGTACATTGTTGATAGAAATACAAACTGATGTAGCATCTGTGGAGAACATTATACAGGTTCCTCAAAAAATTAAAAACAGATCTATCATATGATCTAGCAATTCCACATCTAGGTATTTATCCAAAGAAAATAAAAACATTAATTCCATTCCCTTTAAGGACCTTTGTTTTAGTGTGGATTTGATCATCAAGTAGTACTCAATCTATAGTGTTAGCTGCACAGCCAGAAATCTGCAGGTAGCTTGGAGTCAATGCAGACATATTTTTTGAATCACCTGGAGTTTAACATCCTTTGGTAAGAATCACATTTCCAATTTAAGAGTAATACTTTGTTTCTCATTTGTTAGATGCCTAAGTTAACACACAAATTCAAGTCATAAAGCAAGTTGAGGCACCCGTGTCCCTAGAGCGCTTCTTACCACAGCGTGATTCTTCACGTAGCAGGGCTTGCACACAGGCTTGTCATTGACCATCACGTATATTTCCCCAGCTAGGATGTTGTCACAGTCAAAACAGCAGAAGTGTTTTAGATGCCAATTCTGGTTTTCTGCCTGGGTGTACTCATTGCTGAATATCAGCTGGGAAGATAAAAATAAGATGAAATTTTGGGGGGCTACAAATGACAAAGCTAAATTTTTTCTGACAGCGAGGGATTTTGATCTTTAAGAATATCAGTCTACCTTCTTGGGTTTAAAGTTTAATATTAAGCTAAAGGTTGCAGTTAGGTTTTTATTTAATTTAGTCCAAATCCATCTGTCATGGTTAGATGCCATTAGTCAACACAGAATGAATGAAATGGAATGTTTTCATTCAACTTCTTTGGATATAAATAAAACAACTGATGCTTCATTGATTCTTTTTGCCTTCTCACTAAGGGTGGTCTGATTAGAATGTTAAGGGGACCACATCGGGGTACAAAATGGAGCTTGCCTGCTGGTGGCCCTTAGAAAACACACCTCATCACAGCCAGCACATCGAGGTTTCTCACTGTCACAGTAATGTCTGCCACAGTATAGCTTCCCATTTTTCCAGAAATAAATCATGTCGACCAGGAGTTCATGGCAAGTGTTGCAGATGAAACAAGCCGGGTGCCACAGTTTGTCGTAGCCAGCTCTTTCAGCATATATGGCTGGGTCACCTTCCTTCATACTCAGTTTGCAGCAGTAGCAAGACTAAAAGGAAGCCATACACAACAATCTTGTCATCACAAGACTGACCATCATTACCAATTTGAGTGAGAATTTAGACCAACATTTTGCAAGAGAAATAATTTCTAGAAATGAGGAATTTGCCCATGTAGACAAGGTATTAGTACTTCTGTGAAATGGAATCATTTGGCTTTATCCAGGTTGTTTAAAACTAATTCTTGCCACTATATGTAATACAGTATTGTTCCCTGAATTAAAGTTACTTATGGAAAAAAGCTAATAAAATTTTCACCTTAATTTTAATGTTTTTTTTTCCCCCCAAAATGATTACCTTTGAGCTTTTAAGTCCTATTTTTTTTTTTAAACAGAACAAGTCTTACTGGTTGGTGTACTAACAAGATCTAGAAGGAATATTACAGTAAGTTTACTTCTTAATTTTGTTCATTTTTTTGGTCAGAAATTTCTTCTACCTTGAAGGCATGAAAAAAAAAAATTGAATTTTCACCTTTAGAAGATTTGTCTTTTTTAATGATTGACTATATAGCCACATAAATTTAAGTCTGAATTTGAGGCATGTTTTCACAAGCAAAACTAAATAAACATAAGCATATATTATTCTTATTTATAAACAATTAACACTAAAATTATGTTTAGAAACAGACTAGATTACTATGTTGTGCTCCAGCGTGATACCAATGCCAACTACTGTGTGTATACATAAACCTCACAATTATCCTTGGCAACAGATAATCAGAAAACTTGGCTTTAGACAGAGGTTTCTCTAAAGTATGCCTCAGCTGAATTTTAATTCAATTGATTTCCCTCACCTGCTCCTTTTTGGAAACAGGCATTGCTCCAGAAAGGTTCAGAGAAAGAGAAACAGCCGTCAAAACATCAATTGGTCCACTCTACTTACATACTGAGTTCTTTTGTGTTCAGCTGATTTGTCCTCCATGGCCCCTACTGCTGCCGTGGTGCTTCGATCCCCGCCAGGGATGTACATTTTATTGGGGCCTTGAGCAGACATCTCATAGGGAAGTTTGACATCTCCTACACCCAGAGCCTCGCTCTTATATTTCTTCACAAACTGCTCCATCTCTTTCACCTCTTTGGGAGATAACTCATGGCACTTGGAAGGGTCCTGGTCATGTGCAGGGAGCTGCTTTGCCAGTTGCTTCTTGCGGTACTGTGCTCCCTCCGAGCCCGCCACTGGCTGCTTCTCCTTGGGCAGCATCTGCATGTACTGCCTGGCCTGAGCCACAAGGAGACCACTGTTAATTGGGAGGTGCCTTGGCCATCAGACAGGTGATATTGTAGAACACATATCAAAAGCAAGTGACTAAAGAAAAAAGTCAGTTTTATCCTTTAGTAACAATCTTCATAATATAAATAGCTTGAGATGTTACAAAATATTACATAAATACACTTAATTTTATTTTAAAAACCCCACATTTTCCTCCATGAAATCAACTTTTTTTTTCCATTTGTAGAAAGATTTGAGTTACTAATGTTTACTTGCACTAACTATGCAAATGTACAACCGCAAGAGAACACACATTTGTAGGCAGATGGGAATGGATCAGCAGCATTTGCATCATTATAAAATGACAATCATTACAGATTCTCTTTAATGATTTAACTAACCTTGAAAGATGTCCAATTTTCTCATCTGGTGTTTATACTAGAAGGAGCTTGATACAAAATCCTATTTTTTTCACCTTACATAGTAAAAGAAATAATAGTACTGAACATTTTTTCAGTTCTATAAAATGACAACTTATACTCTGCAGATATCCTTTATCATCTCAAGAGAAATCTTGTGACAGCCAGAAAAGTTACTAGATTTATACAAAACATGTTTGCATCTAATTATTAAGATATATACCTTTAAAATGGTTAACATATCAAGGTAATCAGAAAAATTCTATGAGGAATCTAAACTTACTTTCAAAATATGTAATAGGAGCTGAAAGTCAAAACAGTGGAAATCCCAGAAAAATAGCTGACCCAAGGTTGATAAGGCCACTAAAGGAATTCCTCTAAATAAATAATCCAGGAACTTTAATATAGTGACCCCCATCCCACTTGTTATTTACCAATGCCTGATTCTGGACAGGAGGAGCCCATTCATAGGTGACTGTGTTGATGGACACATTCTTCTTGGCAGCCAGTGGATTGGTCAGTATCATAACATTACGTTTATACATGGGAATTCCATCTGATTTTAGCTTTGCAATCAAGGTGGTATACTTGGTGTCTTCAAAAAGTTTCCCCACTTTTCGATCCTCCTCATTGCTCAAGAGGACATCATGTTCTTCTTGGCCGCACTTGCAGTTACGACATATTTTTCTAAAATTTTGGAGATTAATAAGAAATAATTAATTATACCCCATCATTAAAAATTATGCTAATAAATTTATAGTTTATAAAATACTTTCACACATAGTCTATATAAAGGTATCAAAAGCAAGTCCTTTATGTGTATGTGGGGAGGGATGACACTAAATATTCATAAATTTAACAAAAAGGAGCATAAAAATGTACCTTTGCTTTAGAGATTTTGAAAAAGTTAAGTTTTGATTAAAAATGCATGCACAAGAGGACATGTCAGACACTAACCCCACCTAGCTTTTCTCATTTTTTTCACCAAAATGAATACACACACTATTCATCAACACTACCACCAAAACTTATCACAGCAAGAGGTTTTACATTTTATTGCATGAGGTCATTTCAAAGTCATTATTCTTTTTTTTTTTTTTTTTAAACAAAAAGTAGGGAAGTTGATAAGATTTTTTATGATCAAGAACTAGAACCCTAGGTTTAGGTTTAACCACAGTCATTTGCTTATTTGTTTTCTTTCCCATTTCTTTCCCTGTCTTTTTCTTTCTCCCTTTTCTTTTCTTTCCCTTCCTTTCTTTTATTTCATCAAACAGTGACCACCTACCAGGTGCTCTGTTATGTAGAAAAAGACAAATAATTGTCTATGCCCCAGTGTTACTCACAGTTAAAGAACACCACTCCCTCCCCCAATCTGGTCTACCATATATTCATTCATACTCATGTATGCATGCATGTACTATATCAATGCCACTGTGTCAAGTTATGTACTAGATAGTAGGACATAATGTTTAAAAAAAAGTAGGCCATTATGTCCTAGTAAAAAGACAGATTTTTTTTTTTTTAACCACTATGTCCTAGTGAGAAAACAGATGTTAAACACACACACACACACACACACACACACACTTTGCATTTGTAGTAGTAAAGTAAAGTATAGGATACTAAGGGAAAATTCTGTCTTGGAAATGATGAGGAAAGGACTCACTCCATAAGAATATTACTACATAAAAAAGAAACATTTATGTTGATAGGATGCATAGAACATAAGCATAAATTGGTATGCGTGTGTATTTGGGAAGAGCGAAAGAAAGGAGAAGTAGGCTTCAACCAACATTTTGGGTAGAACAAGTATTTGTGGTGTTCCTCAGTTAGGAAAGAGATTGCTCCCTTAGATAGATGAGGCAGTGACAGGGTCAGAGGCAGGCATGAGATCATGTAGGAATTTATAGGTTATTAAGATATTTTTCCTTCATTATAAGATCAATCAGGACGCACTGAAGTCTTTTAGGTTATGGAATATCATGGCTATAACTTTTTTTAAAATGTTGTAATACCTCCCATTTGACAATAGGTTAGGGGTAAACACAACTGCAAATAGGGAGACCTGTTCAAATAACAAGTCAATGGTGCATCCAATTTGCAATGGCATGGTCCTAAGTATCGGAACCTTTGGCTATTTCAGAAATGGAATTTGCATCTTGGACGGTTATTATCATGATCCATGTAAGATGTGTTATAGTTTGGAATAAAGATTTATGATCTCGGGCCTCCCCAGTGGCGCAGCGGTTGAGCGCTGGGTTGCGAAGCTGCCTGTGGCCTCTGCGGCGCTGGTTCGATCCCCGGCTGCTCCCTGGCCACCGGAGGAGGGTCCCACATGGCATGCGGACCTCTCCTGCCGCCCGCTGCTCCCCTCAGCAGTGTACCTCGGTCCTTCTGCCTGCTCTGCTCCCCGCTCTGGCTCTGGTGGATTCTCTCGCCCTCCCGCGCTTCTGACTGTACCCAGTGCATGTATAAACGAAACAAACAAACAAACAAATAAATACATAAATAAAAAGCATGCCTCTATAAAAAAAAAAAAGATTTATGATCTCTTGGAATGTAAAACTTATAAAACTCTGTGGTAGATAATGAGGGTGATGGGAAGGTTCAGTGTGTCAAAAGAAACAAGGTTTTTGGGATGAGTAAGTCAGCAGATGGAATGCAATTTATTAAGATAGTAAATACAAAGGAGGAAAGAGAGAGCAAATAAAAAAGAGGAACAGATAATGAGAAGCCTCTGAAACTGAACTACTGCTAAGTTTGAAATGCCTTATGCAATAGAGTAAGGGTATCAAGTGCACTGCAGAAGGCACACGGCTAGTGTTACTGTAGCCTGAACTCTGAAATTAAGGAATGATACATACACAAAAGAGGTGACAGATCACCTTCACCTCCTAGGGGAAAAGTAGAAGGAAAAGGTGAGGATTCAGGAAGGAGTTTAGCACAGAAACAGGGAAAGATGACAGAAGCAAAAAGAATGAAAGAGACTTTGTGTTATCAAAAATGTAAGTCAGTGCTTAGGGTTTCCCCACTTGTCAAGGGAAAAGTGATGGTGGTGTCCCCCTAGGTGCCTCAAGAATGCAACGGAGTTTTAATTTTTTATATACTTGTACCAGTAAACTATTTCTTTAAAAAAAAAAAAAAAGCTGGAATGAAAAAACCTGGTACTTATGGCATATAAATCAAAGGGGGAAATCTGGTATTTTAAAAAGTCATTCTATCATCCTTACATTGTTCAGATAGATATTAAAGATAAAGGTTGCTAAGAATGGAGGTTAAAAGATCTAGATAACCAGAGAAAGACATACTATAGATAATTTTTAGATTACTAAAATGAAAATGGAATGAAAATATAAAAATGCAATTAGTTAAAGAGAAGGCAGCAAGAAAGGCAAAAAAGGGAAATTGGGACATACAGAAAGCACAAATTAAGATGGTTGATATAATATAAACATAGCAATAGATGGACTCATTCTCCAATTAAAAGTCAGAGGATGTCAAACATAATACAACAAAAGTAAACTATATGTGATTTACAAGAGATACTTAAAATGTAAGGTATAGAAATGATGAAAGTATAAGAATCCAAAAAAGATAAACCAGGCCAACTCCAGCAAAATGTAAGTTAGAGGTCTGTATTAATATCACACAAGTCAGACTTTAATGCTTTTTTCTTAATATTAGTGTCACAGCAAAAATTAAAAAAACACTATGATGTATTAGCTCTAAACTTAATGCAGTCTAATAGTC